TTTATTAGAAATATGACACATTCATTTTGTGCTCTGAAAACTGTACAATAACAAAGAAACCCCAGTGAACTTAAAAAAGGGAGTGTGGGAAGTCGGGAAGAGGAGAAGGAGGAGGGCAGGGCTCTGATGGTGGAAAATTCAGGCAAGAACGTATCATCTGGAGTGACAGTCAGTGAAACCGAAACACACACCGTTACATGATGTTACAGAACACAGAGATAGTCCAGTAACCCGATGAGGTTTGGGAAAGGGGGGTGGGGAGCGGGAGGACTTCAGAATCTCAATGATATCTATAATAATGGTAACAATATTCCCCAAGCACAGTAAGAAAGATATTTATAGGCTAAAATTCATTTTGTAGAACTCTTCTGGAAATAATTACAATGCTGTACAACAGGACTCTGAGGAGTGAGTCTTGTGCTTTCTCTGAATGTGTGTGCGACCACAATCTAACCAGAGAATAACACCCCTCTGCGCTTTCAGATATAAGACTATTTGTAATATATATATATATATATTTATATATTCATATTCATCTCCGTTTCTCTTTCTGAACATATTCTGAGACACAGCAGTTTGTTTCAGGTCTCTCAGCTCCAGTGATTCTGATGAAAACATCAAGCGGATGAAAGCGTGTTGGTTCTGTTGACCCCACCAATTTGACCGGCCTCCATCCAGGAAAGTCCCGCTGATGGCATTGGACACTGACTGAGTCTTGAAGGATGTGCAGGTCGTGCGGTGCTCGGGACAGCACAGTTGAGGGCTGTACTGGCTCAGAAGGGCATTGGACACAGATTAACAGTCATATGCAAATGGCTCGGGGCGATAATGTCTCCTCTTTCGCCCAAGCGTACATGTCACACTGATCAACAACGATGATAATAATACTAATAATATTCAAAAATTCGATTTTTGAATGATGACTGATTACTGCCGGGCAGTTTGAAAGCTTGCTGTTGTCGGTGTTTTTTTTTTCTTCCGCAACACTCTTGATGATCACTAATAAGTGTGTGTTTGTGTGTGTCCAGAGGTGTAAGAAATTGAAGGCCACTCACTAAGGCTCATCGCGGGTCACCGTTCAACTTGCCCAGTTCCTGCTAGCGCCAGCTCATTAGCCTTGCAACAGGCTCAGACCTGGATTTTTCGAAAGTGTTATGATTCGCTTTGACATTAAGGAAAAGGCCATTCCAGGATTACGAAAAAAAAAAACAAAAAAAAAAAAAAACAGAAATGAACACAAATCAAAAAATTGCACAGCCATGTTGCTTTCTCTCTCTTTTTTTATCAGCGTCTTGCATACTTTTTCTCAAATATGATTCCTTCTCTTTTTCCCTGTGGGTTGAGTTTGTTCTGTTGGTCTGAATGCTCTGGGGTCTTTCAGACCTCCGTCTGCAGGTCCATGATCTCCTGGCCCACTAGAGGGATGGTGGCACTGGCCTTCTCCCACTCCACTGCCTGCATCTCCAGCGGTGAGGCCTGCAGCGGCTCCAGCTCCTTGCGCACCCATGATGGAGGAGAGTGAGTCTTCCTGATGCCCTCCCATGCCCGCTTACTGGGGGTCTGCTGCTTGTCCTGCATTGCATTATAGAGAAATGTTTGGGTTATGGTTTAGTGCAAAATCAAATCAATCAATAAAAACATATACAGTGCTTAGCATAAATGAGTACACCCCATTTTGTAAATGAATATTTTCATCCATTTCTCAGTGAATCTAGGTAATGCATTTATGCATTTAAAAAAAACAATGTATTAAAATAATCGTGTTTGATTGTAGAACAGCTTTAGAAATAGAAAGATAATATATTTCAATTCATGTGAAACATTGCAAAAAAATTACAAACTACAAAATTATATTAAAAAAATTATATATATATATATATATATATATATATATATATATATATATATATATATATATATATATATATATATATATATTTGTTTCTCTTAATTTTTGCTCTTTTTACAAATATGCTCTTGTGATTAACCTAGAAAAAGCAGATGAAATCGTGTTCAGGTCCACAACGTCTGATGTATCTACAAACCCTGTAGTTATACATAATCAAAACATCAGACAGGTAGAAAAATATAAGTATTTGTGTGTAATAATAGAAAGAAAATGGAAAGATTATATTGATAGTGTTTGTTACAAGATACTACAAAGAATCTATTTTTTTAGTCATCTTAGATCATTTGAAGCATTGAAAAAGATTTTTTTTTTTATGTCCGTACTTATGAGTGTTCTGTAGTATTGTAATTGTGTATGGTATAATTGTCTGTCTGTGAGTCTAAAAACAAAGTTGATGAACCAGATTAAAATCTGTTTAAGGATAGTAGGAAAACCTGTTGAGAAATTATATGACCATTTGTATTACAAGAACCTTACAAGGCTGGCAAGGAAAATTATTTCAACTCTAGTCATGTGTTGAATTATGAATTTTTACCATTAAAGTCTAACTGTCGATTTAGATTCCCAAGTTTAAATAAAGTGAAGTTAAAAAGAAGTTTGTATATAAGGCTGTCTTAGAGCAAAAAAGGTCAGTGACAAATTATTTGTTTTTTTTTTTTGTATGTCTCTTTGTAAAAAGCACTTATCATGATGTTATGCAAGACAAATTTCAGAAGCAAGTCTGACAGGTTATGTATTTGTAAATAATTTTTTTATTACTTTTTTTTTTTTTTTTTTTTTACAATTTTCTTGAATACATTCCTCAAACAATTGAGCCCACCCAATTTACCTGTACCACATGTCTTTGGACTGTGGGGGAAACCAGAGCACCCGGAGGAAACCCACGCGAAGGCAGGGAGAACATGCAAACTCCACACAGAAACTATCTAGTAAAATATTATTTTATTTAGAAATGATTTATTAAAACTATCATGTTTAGAAATGTGTTGAAAAACATCTCCATCCATCACTTTTCCATTTATTCATCCATGTTCTCCCTTAAACAGAAATTAAACATAAGAGCTAATAATTCAGGGGGGCTAATAATTTTGACTTCAACAGCCTAAAATTTTGTTTTTGTAATGTAAGACATATTAAGACTTTTTAAGACCCCACGAACACCCTGCATATATATATATATATATATATATATATATATATATATATATATATATATATATATATATATATATATATATATATATATATATATACACACACACACAATCTCAACTATGACAACAGAAAGATCTAAAAGATAATAGAGGGATGAATATAATCTCCTACACTAAGGTTGGTTTTGTCGCTTCCTCCTGACGAAATGCTCCATCTCTTTCCAGGCTTGCAGTCGACTGGAGGAGAGTCTCTGTCCTTCTCTGCGTGCTGCAGTTTGCGATTCAGGTCCTGAAACATGTCCTGATGACGCTTCCGTGTGTGCATGATCTTCTGCAAGAGGATAAATAAACACACGCTTCAGTCCCTGTGCTGAGGCCAATGAAAACACACCACTCAAGACTGCTGTCATTTGTGGAAGATTTACATTACACTGACCTCAAAGTCCAGCTCTGCATAGCGTGATTTTCGTCTCTAAAAGGGCAAATAAGAAAAATAAATAAATAAATAAAGGATGTTATTGTGTGTCTTTTCAGAGTGGTCTTGGGTTAAAAAAGGTATATGGGTCATTCTCAAAATATAGTGGTAAAATATACCCTTAGGCTTTTCAGTCCTAAAAAAAGTCTTTAAAAAGTAGAATATTATAACAATTCATGACATATAGCATAATAGTTAGATAGTAAATCTTAGATCTGGTATACAAACTCTTTTATTGCCTTTTTGTTTGTTTGTTTGTTCTATATTTGTTTGTATAGTTTAAGCTTTGCAAAAATCTTCAAATAGAAATTTCAATGTAAAATTAATTTTAATCAATTAATAATTTAAATATAAAATAATATAATATAATATAATATAATATAATATAATTGCCTGTTTGTTTATTTGTTTGTTCTAATTTTGTTTGCCCAGTTGAAACATTTTAAGTACTTACATTTTAAAATATATTTAAATCAATTGATAATATAACAAAAATGTAATCTAATCTAATAAATTATAATAATTTATAATATAATATATAATTATAAAATTAAAGCAAAAAGTAAAATGTACTTTAACAAAGTTCTAAAAGTAACTAAAACTAAAATCAAGTTACTAATAAGTTACTATTAAAAAGTTACTTGTAAAACATTTTTAAAAATAATATAATTAATAAAAACATCAATAATTACTCAAAAATTACAAAATAACATGATTTCTTGTCATTGGTGTCAAAATAAAGTTAATAAAAACAAATAACATGTTTTTATTTCAACATGCGACCTTTGATTAGTAATAACAACAATATTATAATGAGAACAATAATAAATAAATAAAAGATTATTGTTGTTGAATCTACATTTTAAAACATTTAACATTTCATAACATTTTCAGCTATTTGAGAATGACCCAAATGTAGTAAGCAGAGAAAGAAAGATTGCAAAATTTTGGTGCTTAAGGCAGACTTTGAGTTAGCATTGTGTGTCTTATATATTTATACATATATATTGCATGTTTCCGGCGAGCTCCTGGCACGAGAGTGCAGTAAACAGCTTGTGACCGAATGGCCTTTCTTTAGCCTGTCAGAGAGCGTCTGACATTCTGACTACAGCTGTGCGAGCGCATTGCATTCTGGGAGCGTGTTTGGCCTGAGGTGAGGAGGAATCCACGCTTGTCATCTGCTCCCTTTTAAAGCACGAGCAAAATCTGACCTTTCTCTTCTGAGAGGGATAATTACGAATGTGGAAGGCATCGTTTAAGCAGCCTTCTTTCATTCCTTCCTTCCCGAAATGGCCGTTTTATTTAATTCCGTTAAGTGTTTCGGTGTTGTTTTCATTGGCTGATGTCAGTTGAAATGTAATTCTGAGCCACGTAATGACAGTCCTCAACACAAACATGCTTTTTTTCTTCACTCTGCACATAAATTAGGACATTCGCTCCCTTGTGGCAGAAATGACAAACACTGATGCGAATTCACAGATGGGTCTGCAGCACAAATTTCTCTAGACCAGAAACCAAAAAGTGTCCATCATTAACGTGGAACAATCAAAGTAAGTGTGCAAAAAAAATGCGGATGAAAAGATGTTGTGATTTCAAACAGATCAAAACCAGTGTCCACAGAGCCATGGAATGTTAATGGAGAGTCTTTCAGAAAGCAATGGTATCGCAAGTATCGTAATTAGGGCTGTGCATTTAATCGAAAATCTGGTTTCGATTTCAATTTTGGCTTTAAACAATTATGAAAAACCATTAATCGAGATAAACGTTTATTCCATCATATACCGCCCCCTTTCCAGTTGTACACATTTGTTGCTCTGCAAAGCTCAGTTCCACGTGAAAATGACTAAAAGTATCTTCTGAAATGTAACTTTTGCAGCACGGGGTGCGCATCATTCATATTTTTAAAAGCGCGAAAGAGCACATGCTGTTGTGTGCACGCGCTGCGCTTAGCCTCGGACAGGCTCGGAGACGAGTAGAGCACACACATCTAACGGCATCTTAATGTGAGCGCTTTGTTGGTCAAATATATGCACATTTGTGTCAGAGCGCATTGTTTAGTGATTATTCATATTAACCCTCATTTGTGTAATAAACGAGTTGAGAATCAAAAGACGTGAAAGAGAAACCATATCAGAGCCGCACTATTCTTAAAGTAACAGCGCGCAATATTCCTGCTGCCGCCTGTTTTTATTATTAATCAAACAACAAATGGAGAAAATCCCTCACTGCTCTTGACTGAAGGACTGTTGTCGCTAAAGCTTTTTCTTACAGGAAAGATGCTTAAAGCAGTTTAAACATAACAGATTTAATAACTCATTTCTAATAACTGATTTCTTTTATCTTTGTTATGATGACAGTACACTATATTTTACTAGATATTTTTCAAGATACTAGTATTCAGCTTAAAGTGATATTTACAGGCTTAACTAGTGTAGTTAGGCAAGTCATTGTATAACAGTAGTTTCTTCTGCAGACAAACAAAAATATATATTGCTTAAAGGGGCTAGTAATATTGAGCTATTAAAATAGGTTTCAAAATATTTAAACTGCTTTTATTCTAGCCAAAATAAAACAAGTGAGCCTTTCTCTAGAGGAAAAAATACTGCAATAAATGCTGTGAAAAATTCCTCTGTTAAACATCATTTGGGAATATATATATAAAAATTCACAGAAGGGCGAATAATTTTGACTTCAACTGATAAATCGTTTTGAATAACTGTGATTACAAATATGACCAAAATAATCGTGATTATGATTTTTCCCATAATCGAGCAGCCCTAATTGTAATTATAGTAATGTAAGTTCTAAATGCTCCAGCTGCCTATAATTTTTTTTTAAAGTCTGCGTGAACAAAAAATTGCAGAAACTTTTATTTCAGTATGTCGATGTACTTTCAGCTGAAACAGAATACTAAATAGGGGGTCGAGGTTTCTTTTTGCGTAGCATTCTGTCATGGCAAAGTAAAGGTATTGGATCATAGACAAGAATATTGTGACTGAAGCAATCAAATTGACATCAACAGGAAAAACAGTTAGTGGTTTAAGTAAGAGTTTTTTCTCCTTTTTTGCAAATGGTCAGCTTTTTTTCCTTTTCTGCAAATACTGAAAAATGTCCTAGTTTTTTGTGTTTCTCAGCAGGCACAGTACGTCACCAGTTATATGGCAAACGAATACTTATATTCAGCAGTAAAGCATTACATTGATCAATAGTTACACTACCCAACAGGCACACAATGTTATCATGACGTCAGACTGACGTTGTACCCAAACATAGTGGGGACATTTCATTTTGTTTGAAAACGGAAATCAGGTTGATATCAGAACCCAACATCAGGATGTTACAGCTTGACGTTGTGCATCAGACGTTGGATTTAGGTTGCCATACCTGACAAATAAATGTCAGTATTTAATGCCAATATGCATTTGTTTAAGATGTTGGCTTGATGTTGGATTTTGGTCACTTTTTCAGAATCAACCTAAAATCAACCAAATATCATCGTCATTTGATGTTGTTATTGGACGTCAAAATAACATTGTCACCTGATGTCACAACCTAAATCTAACCTTATATTAACATCTTATGATGTTGTGTGCCTGCTGGGATCTGATTTTCTGATTCTCAAATATGTGAAAGAATTTGTACTTTGTCATTTAACAGCTTAATAATGATCATATTACTTGATTTGTCATATATGATGGGCATCATCATGTTACTGGAGTAACCGGAGCTGCTGGATTTTGATTCATTAACTTCTACCAAATTACATAAAAGTAAGTGGCAGTTTAATTGGGAAAGTAAGAGAGTAAACATTCTAATAACCTTAACAGTGTGTAACTGATAAACAGCATTAATAAAACACATTGTCAGATTATGTGTAAAATGATTATTATATATTTTTGCTACTACCCATGTGTATTTAAATGTCTGAAACCTAAAATAAACGTTATCTTTTTGAAAACACTGATGTACGATAAGCGACGTGTTTGATTCTTTGGCTCAGTGCAAGGAAAGCAGTTTTTTGCAACGTGACGCATCAAGTGATGCACTGAACATTCTAATCACACTGGTGTGATTGTATGCATCAAATGGTTAAGGTGGATGTACACTGTACAACTTTTCCTGTTGTAAAAGCTCATATATGTTTTTTTCTCATGGGTAGAAGTCATGTGAAAATTGTTGCTGCTCACATTGTCGTGGCATATACAGTTCGAGAGAAAGTATTGCCTTATAAGCGCTCAATAATTTTTAAACATGTCAAAAACATTTGAGAGCTGTCAGCTTGAATTAGTAAGATTTGTGCGATTGAAATAGATGATCTGTCTATCTATCTGAAGTCGACCAATCAGGATGATAAACTCACTGAACAGTAAGTGCTGATGTGCCATGCATGACAGGGTCATCATACGATAGTTTACGTTGGACTAGGCTTTATAAATCACACATGTGGGTGAAAAGGCATACTGATTAACATGCTTGTATTGCGTATCATTATTAAGCTCTTAGCTTTGAGAGAGAGAGAGAGAGAGAGAGAAAGAGAGAGAGAGAGAGAGTTGCTATGAAAGGAAAGTTTTACTATTTCTATATTTTTGATGCTGGAATTGCCAGGTCATAAAATCGTGTAGTATTTAACATAAACTTACAATTGTGGACATCCAACCTTCTGATAATTAGACCATGTGTGCCTGCTTTTAGACACAAATAAAATCAGCCCGTACATTACACAACACCGTTTTCTACCTAAATGTTAATTTTTAAGATTTAGACCATTTTGCGATTGAATATTGAAGTGCACGTTTTTTTTTCTCTGATATCGTCTCAGTGTAAACAACAAAATTGTTATTTTGTGTAAACAGTGATGTGCTCCTGCTAATTTTTTATTTATCTTCAAGCGTATAGATTTTTCTTTAAAGTGACATCGCCATCTACTGGCCTGGCATGCATAATACATAAGTTGTTTTGATAAAATTCTCATATCTTTGCCGAAACTATTGTTTAATACTATTCTTAAGACTCATAAGCGTCCATCATTTATTAGGAATAATCATGGCTGAGATGTGCAAAATGCGAATGGAAAGATGTCATGATTTAAAAGAGATCGAAACCAGCCTCCACAAAGCCGTGAAATGTTAATGGAGAGTCATTCAGAAAGCCGTTGTGTCTGATTCATTTACGCTGTGAATCTTTCCATACAAAATTGTGATGAGTGATTTTGCCGTTTAGACACAAATGAAGTCAAGCCAGCTCATCCGCAGTGAGGAAACAGATGGAGGACGTCTATCACTTTGCAACCCTCTACTCAAACCTTGGCAAAAGCCTTTGACTAGTAAATCTGACTAGCCAATTTGTGTGTGTTTATTTTGTACTTGAGACATACTGGAAAACCAATCAGACATTACTAGTCCCTCAATTATTATTATCATTATTTTTTTTTTGTAAAAAATATTACTATAACTATTAATTCTACTTAGAATGATATAAAATGCAAACATGTCTGGTGAGCTCCTTGGCTCATTCACAATTGGGATGGGTCATTTAAATCACACTTATGTTTTGGAGGTTGTTTCTATTCATTTATAAAATGTGACGTCAGGTGAAGCAGCTTCCGGGTCCATGTGTTCTATCAAACTGCATGGGGAGACTAAATGAATGGTAATAATAAATTTTTACAAAGTGATGTAATACTTTCAAAATTCATGATTGCAATGTATATATCCAAACCCAATGACAAAAAGTGATTAATTTTTTATTAATTGTTAAAATATTGGTGTCTATGATGTAGCAAGTCATCATTTTACATAAAATTCACTTTAATTTGTGATATGACAAATTAAAGTGAAAAAGGCCATAGACTAATATTTTTTTTAATTCAAGTTAGTAGCAGCTTGGACCCGGAAACAGTATTCCGTACGTCATGACTAAACAAGCGGATATAAAGGGACATTACCAACTACTGGCCTGGCATGCACAATACAGTGTTTTTAATCGATATTGTGGATCTGTGAGAACAGAACAGGAATAATTTTGATGTGCTGGAAATTTATTTTTTCGCTTTTAATACTTGATGTGTAAACCTACTCTAATTTGCTATAGCTACAGCTATTAATATATATTAATATATAATAATATAATATTATATATATATATATATACACACACACACACACACACACACACACACACACACACACACACACACACACACACACACACACACACACACACACACACACACACACACACACACACACACACTACCTATATATACCTATATATTTTGAGTAGTTTGGTAGTTTTTTCATGTTTTTTATTCTTTCATTATTCTTAAATTGTTAAATATTTATTTATTACTTATAGTATGTAGGTTCAAATGAAATTATTGCTCCAGTCATTATTGATTAATAATGATTATAATAAAAATTATAATTAATATTAGAGTGATTTCTGAAGGATCATGTGACTGTACACTGGAGTAATGTAACTGAAAATTCATCTTTAAAATCACTAGAATAAATTCTGTACTTATTTTAAAACATTTAAAAATTCTACAGACTCTAAATCCATATATATATATATATATATATATATATATATATATATACATATATACAGTTGAATACAGAATTATTTGCCCCCCTTTGAATATGTTTTTCTTTTTTAAATATTCCCCAAATTATGTTTAGCAGAGCAAGGAAATTTTCACTGTATGTCTGATAATTTTTTCTTATTTGTTTTATTTTGGCAAGAACAAAGGAGTTTTAATAAAAAATACTAATAATAAAAAATATGTATGACAAATCACGTCATACAGCTAATTACATTTTTATGAATGAATTCTACAATTCTTTCAATGGTTTGTGAATGTTGTAGATAAAAGGGCCCTAATTATCATTGGACCTTTAGCCTGTAAATCTAATCAATGGCTGTCTAATTAAAAAAAATCATTAGCCAATGACTAATAATAGACATTAAGCCACCTTTCATTAAAATTTAGTCAAACATGCGAGTGATTTTCTTAAAATTGTAGAGGGCTGCAAGATTGAATCCCACAATGAACATCATCATTTCTTACCTCCAGAGAGCTCATGGACAGTGTGGAGACAGTCTCGCTCTTAGACATCCCAGAGTTCCCAGAATCCCCTTGCTCACACGTATTTGTCATCTGGGACTCGCTGGAGATATTCTGCACCGTCTGCACCGGGGACTCCCTCTCCGAGCATGAAACGCTGACTCGGTCGGTGGGCAAGCTCTTCAGCCCGAAGCCTGCCACGGGATCGGTGCCAACAGGATTGGCCAGGTGGATCAGCCTTGTCTGGGGTAACTGTTCGATACTGATGTTATATTTGGCGGCCGGGTCTTCCTTGCCACCCTTCGTAGGCCTAAGGGTGTTGTTGTTGTTGGGCAAAAGCACATAACCCTGACCTGCACCTCCACCACCTCCTTCAGGAATGTCTCCCGGTGCTCCGTCAAGCTGTTTGAAGAGCTCGCCGTCACAGATGTAAATAGATTTGGCCCCGGGTAACTCCGTGCTGACCCCGGCGATGGCGCCTTTGTCGCGGCGCATGGTGAGAGTGTGACTGGCGTAGTTGGCTACGTTTTGCAGGTGGACCTTTGCCATGCTGGCAGGAAGGGTGTTGAAGTTGGAGCCTTTCTGTACTGTGATCTGCTGGGATGGAACCTTCTCCTCGCCTTGCTGGGAGGGACGCTTCAGGGTGCCTGTGAATCAAAAGGAAATGTGCTTAGTAAGTGAAAAAGTAGAGAGAGAAAAAGCGCATGCTGATTTGATAGATCAGTGCTACATTTTGATTTTTTTTTAAATCAACTCAAATGATGATGTAATTTATTTAAATATAATTTTGCTGAATCATGCTGAGAAATTATAGGACAAATCAGAGATCAGTAGATGAATAGGGGCCTATGAAAATAGATATTTATTTATTTTATTTTTTTGCTGGATTACATTTTAAAAGCTTAATAATAATGATTTAAAGCCTTAAATAATTTTAAACTAAATGCTGCTTTTTTATCCTACCAATAAAGTGATTAGAAAATTAAACTTTAACAATAAAACACTGAGTATGTTTACATGGACACCAATAATCTAGTTTTAATACGATTAAGAGAATACTCTAAGAGTCTTCCATGTAAACAGCAATTTTTGATTCATTTAATCCCATTAAGGTCATAATCGAACTAAGCAGAAATCAGATTAAGACATGTGGAGTATGCCGATTTTACTCAGTACAGAAATGTAAACACCTAATCAAACTTTTACCCTCTTGTAGTATTTTCGCAGCATTTTGCGCCAGGATAGTCCATACACACATGGGTGTTTGACACTATTCTCTGCACCTACCCGAGTACGGAGTAAAAAAACCACAGACACCTGCATTGTGAAATACGGAGAAATGTTGTTTCCCACACGGCTTGCAACATCAAATTCCATTAAAACAACACTCCTCCAGCAATTCATACTCGCATCCAATATCTCGTTTGTCACGGGGCCATGCATGAAATGTTCCTGACTGAATATGAAAGTGCCAAACTGCAGTTAAAGTAGACAAGTTAAAAATGAAACACTCAAAATTACATGAAATTATATGAGGAAATGTGGATAGCATTGTGTAAATGTGGAATGATGTTAATCGAATTATGTGCTATAACATGTAAAACGTGATCATGAAAAGAACACTCAAAAAGCAGCTCATGTAAACACCTTCATATCATATTACTGTCTTATTCAGATTAAGGCAAATAATTTGATTACTGATATCCATGTAAACCTAGTCATAGATGAAGTGTAGTAATCCACATTTATTATATAATTTGAATAATTTCTGATGCTACTTTATATTGTAATTAGATTTTTATTTTATAGCACTATTTTTTATATATTTAAGCAAAATGTGCCAAATTCGGCATTGTTCCGCATTTGATGGTACAGTAAATGTTATTATTTTTCTGAATTTATAAAAAAATGCATTACAATATTGAGTTACTTTCCAAAAAAGTAACTAGTTGTGTTAGTTACTTTTTATGAAAAGTAATGTGTTACATTGCTTTTTCATACCTGCCTGAGGCTTGATCTCTTTCAGGGCATTTTGTATTATATATATATATATATATATATATATATATATATATATATATATATATATATAGAAGAGCTCTTCATTTAACAACACAATGCATAACTCACACTTTCATTTACCTTAAAAAAAAATTAAAACGATGTAAACTTCTGAGATGGTCTTTACGCTACATATGCGATATATACAAATGAATGAAAGTTAAAAGCAACGTTTTTCTTTTCTTTTTTTTTACTACATATTTTATTCTTTCTCCCCATGTTCTGTTCACTTGTTTGTTGTTGTTTAAAAATTTAATAAACACATTATAATTATTTTTTTTTAAAAAGCTGTGTTTGCTACTTTTGTATTTTTGTCTTATTAGTTCAGTAAAATTACTGTCCATTGAAACAATCTCATTTTCTTCTACGTATTCAAAATAATCTGAACACTTCCATTACAGAAATGTAAGGCTCTGCCATCTTGGTTTCTGTTAATATTTAAAATAAAATTATTTAATCTAAAAAGTAACTAAAATATTATGACTTATTTTTTTAAGTAATGCGTAACTTTACTCTTTAAAAAAGTAATTAGACTACGTAACTCGCTTTACTTGTAATGCGTTACCCCCAACACTGATGGGGAGCAAGTAAGCTTTCTTTTTTGTATAAACTATCCCTTTAAGTCCAGTCAACTTAGTAAGCATTGATTATAATAAGTGAAAATGACCAAAATATAAACAAAACACAATGACAATGCTGTTAATGGTTTAGTTTAAATAATAAAAAAACAGTCAAGATACCATGGTAGAAAAAAAAGTGCAGCTATTAAAAAGGCTAGAAGTTCTACCAACTGTTTTAATATGTTGTAGAGGAAAACGGAAACATAAAAAATCCAAATATGGATCAGTGACTTGTTTTGATTTTCACATGAGCACCAGGGAGCTAATTACACATTATGCAAAGTGTCAGGTAATCATCGGATATCTTACAGCAGGTCACTGGAAACCAGGAGCAGGCAAAGTTCAAATGATTTTGCATTACAACACTTTGCACAGCAATGCAGCTGAGAGTTTAGCTTAAGCAGGTCAAGCGAGAGACTGTAGAGTAACTAAAACCACCCTGATGGAAGGCTTCGTTTTTAGTCCTTCACACTTCAAAAAAAAAAAAAAAAGCAAAAAATATCACATCACAGATCTCTATTTCTAGATGCGGGCTTGATACGTGGTCTTGACAAATAATCAGAATCTCATTTCCGATAGATATCAGAGAAGAAAGCTGCTATCTGATAATGAAATGTCGGGAGGGACTTAATTAGGACAGGCCGGCAGATCTGAGGGAACAGACAAGTCTATTTATCTGCATTTTGCTGCTCGCCAGCTATCAGATCGTGTTCAGAATCTCCTTGAAGAAAATGCATCACGCGGCCTGTAAAATTGCACTCGTCTTGTCTAAACAACAGTCTGCAATTCTCAGAAGGGACGTCACAGCTACTTAAGGTGACCGGAGGGTATGTTGTGAAAGTCTCACCTGATCGACAAGCTATGTCCACATCCTTTTCAAAGTCAGTCTGTAGAAAAAAAGAACAAAAACTGCAGGAATGAGAATTTTTAAAACACTATTTAGTGAATTATGTTTAACAGAAATTAAAAAAAATCTAGTCTCAAATCACCATCAGCTGAGCATGACCGTTCTGGAAGGATCCACCAGAGTCACCGTTTCCATCTTCTTGACGGTCAACAACACGACACTTTACTGCTTCTTGAACCTAATCGATTTAAAAAAGCATTTCTTTTAAAGCATTTAACAATAACGACTGCTGACCTGCTTACATCATATTTTAAAAGTGACTCTTATCCTATTGTCTGCATTTACACAGCAACGGCAAAGGCACAATGACCATGAAAAAAAAGAGCTGGCTCTGACTGACGGCTGATAATAAAAGAGCTCTCTTCTCTCCATTCCTGTTTTTAATGTGTTTAATTTTTTACAAATATATTTGACAAGTTGTTTTACTGTAGTTTATGACAGAAAAGCATTTTTAATCCAAGCATTTTTAAACCAGTAGGCATCTTAAAGTAATGTCTGCCACAGTTTTATCTTAGTTTGTATTGGTTACGTGGTGGATGTTGCGCTCTCTCTCTCTCTCTGACCCTTGCGCCGAGCTTAAAGTAGCAAAAGACTATTGCGCCACGCCTTGCGCCACATTGCGCCGGGTGTATGTTAGGGCCCAAATAGCTTTTTTATTCCTCATTTGGGACTCTGTTGAAGTCTGTTCTGAAATAAAAGAGTCAGACTTAACGTCATTTGCTATGGTTTTTAATGATTTGCGACTCGCATTGAGAGGTGAAAACCCGCTCTACCTGCTTACACTGTAGACACAAGGTCATAGATTCGATTCATATTGGATAAATTTCCACATGTGAACAAGGCCTGAATATGATTTGAGTAAATCAGAATCCATGTGATTTTTTCTTGCTTACATGTTTCATAAGCCGTATCCGATCTGTGTCACATGGGAGAAAAAACCCCCGGAATTGAGTCACTTGAACCATGCAGAGTAAATACAGCCTTTCATATGGTGGTTGGACATTAACAGTGTTTAGTTAACAGCTTATACTAAATTAATAGCTTATACTAAATAAAACTCCTCCATCGTTTTTAATAAACGTAAGTGATGCATCGTACAATCAGCCGTGAGTTACGTCGTTGTTTGGGAAACGCATCACTGTACCATTCAGTGAAAATTAGGCACAAGACATATGCTGTAAAGACCTTGTTTTGAAATGGAAGTGGGGAGCAGCAGCCCATTTGCATTTAAAGAAACACTAAATTGTTGCTTCCACTCAAAAATGACCAGGGAAACCCTTTTATAATAAATAATCTGAGGGGTATTTGGAGCTGAAACTGCACAGACAGACTCTGGGTACACCTGAAACATCTATTACATCTTGAAAAAAAAATAATAGGTCCACTTTACAAGCAGGCATCAGACAAGTTCACTCACCTCTCTGCGTAGGATGCAATGCACCATCACGATAACAAAGCCCTCGAGGGAGTCAAAGACGGCAAAAAGGATTTGAAACAAGGCTGAACGGCGGTCAGTAATAGCCAAGACTGCCGACATCCAAGTGAGCGCCAGCAACGGCAGAACAACGCAGGAGCTCCACAGCGACGCCCTACAGGACATAAACAGCATTACAGTGAGCCAAGGTTTATTAACTAGAGGTATACAAAAAAAGTGACAAAGAGGGCAAGCCTAAAGAACAAGCCACTCTTTCAGAGTGAGGATTTTTAACATTTTATATAGAACAAATTACTATTTAAGACTTATAGAATAAACTTTAGATGCCTGGTGAGTGTTTTAAAGACTATAATCCAGTACTAAAATGCATTCATATATAAACAGACAGATCAATACAATGTTCAATATGTGTTAGAGTTGCCCTTTTTGTTGATTACACTCAACAAAATATCAATATACTCAAAACATGTAGGTTCAATCACAGTTCAAAACAGTTGCAACAGGTGAAAAAGGCAATAAAAAAGGAACAATGGATGATGAAAAGGAGAAAGACAAATGACAAGGTGAAAGATGAAGGAATGTAGATTTATTAGGTGTATTTTTAGAGAAGAACTCTCCCCTTATCATGGATTTTAGGCGTAGGGGCTCAGCATGCTCAGCAAGATCTACATTTTAACATTTTATTCCCTTCTTTTAGCATTCTAAAATTGTGTTCTTCACGTCATCAACACTCCTGTACTCTTATCTACTGTTTTAAAATGCACTAACAGACACACACAGGCAATCACACACATACTTGTATATAAGGTTTACTAGGACTCTCACAGGCGTAATGTTTTTTTTTTTATTTTTAAGATTTATTTAAGATTTTTTACATTTACAAAGATACATAACAACCATTAAGAATAGAGATGGGAAGGAAAAGGGGAACAAATAGAGAATACAAAAACTAACTATATAGTTACACACTTAAATACAGGTGTGATGTATTTTATACTGTAAAAAATGCTTATTATATGCTATTACCCAACCCCTAAACACAAACCTGTGGTAAACTCTGTATGATTTTAGAATGATTTCTAAGTGTTTTGAGTTATGAGGATACAAGGTATGTCCTTAATAAAGTACAACAAGGTCATAACAATGTCATTACACATTTTTTGCCCTTATAAACAACATAACCAAGCACACACACACACACACACACACACACACACACACACACACACACACACACACACACACACACACACACACACACACACACACACACACACACACACACACACATTTATAAAAGTATGCTGAAATAAAACAATAGTAAAAAACAAATCCGTTTCATCATAGGAACATAATACTGCAGTGGGTAATAATCAGAATTTTTGTGTAATACTATAGAGATTTACAACATTTTACTTCATGAACAACTGCATAGACCTAATAAAGACATACAGTTATGTTTATAAAGTGCTCTGGCCTACAAAGCTTTCACCTGATATCCTGTGTACACACAAACGCAGTCAACCCCAGACATCTATATCCGTATATCAACATTAAATTATGTGGTAAAAGCTCATCGACCTTTCATCCTATACTTGTCTTGTTTACAAATTGCTGCAATTCAGCAGGAAGATAAAAATATTGCAGGTTGCGTGATTTTAACCTCTCTTAGATCTTCTCAGCTGTCGCCACACACAAATACACATCCTACACATAATTATGTACATCCATAAATGGCTGCTTTACTTTATCTTACATTATGGAGAGAGCTAATGACGGAGACTAGACCAACATGGCTCATTTCAGTTACACAGTAAGACAAGACATTCTTGACGTGGCTGCTATTATTAGAAAGACAATAAATGTCTTATGGCAACCATACTTTCTGCTAAAATACCACACAGATCAACTAAAATACTGTGCAGTTATTGTCACTACTTAATAAAAGATAATGTGAGCATTCCAGAAATTAAACAAATAACAAAGATTATTGCCTATATACTGTTTTAGGAAGGCTACAGTATTCAAATTAGTCAATTTTATGGATGCCAAATGAGATGTGTGTGCTAAAATTATACAAATATTTTTACCTTTTTTATTTTTATTTAAATAGATGAGCATTAAAGTCATATATTTTTGACAAAATGGGAATTTACAGCATAGTGTAATAAATAATCTGTGTGAGTATTTTGAGATGAACATTTAGAAATACATTCTAGGGCCACCTGAGACTTGTATTACTTCTTGTAAAAGGTTTGATTTTCAGTTTTCATTTTAAAGTTTGCTTTAATAATTTTGATTTGTGCTTTTCTATTGGTTTTTCCAGTCCCTTTTTATTTTTAAATATCATTTTCTTTCTATTTTAAGCCTTCATTTTCATTTTGGATTCAATTTGAATAACTTTTGCTATGTGTTTTTTATGTTAATTTTATTATTTTAGGCTTTTAGCTCTTTTATGAAAATTAGTTTTATCCAGTGTTGAGTGTAAGCAGTTAAAGTAACCACTTAATGTGATCAAATTACTTTTCCACATAAAAATTAAAGTAAGTTAAGGGACTATTTTTAAAGTAATTTTAATACTTAGAGTATATTGTAATTTAGTGACAACATAATTTTAATACATTGCAATAAAGTTTAAAATGTAAGTATCTATCTATCTATCTATCTATCTATCTATCTATCTATCTATCTATCTATCTATCTATCTATCTATCTATCTATCTATCTATCTATCTATCTATCTATCTATCTATCTATCTATCTATCTATCTATCTGTCTATCCGTCTATCCATCCGTCCATCCATCCATCCATCCATCCATACTTTACAAAAGTCTTATTGCCCTTCCAGGTTTTAGGAACAACAAATAATAACTTGAGTTCAACTTCTAGTTGATCATTTGGTGTCAGAATTGACTTACATGAAAGGCTAAAGCCTCAAGATTATGCTTTTTACAGAAAAAAATCATATATATATATATATATATATATATATATATATATATATATATATATATATATATATATATATATATATATATATATATATATATATATATATTTATAGGTCTGACTTTGCTTAGAAAAAAGTCTTGCCGCTTAATGAAATAATGTACAGTGTATAATAAAGTCATGTTGCAGTGGGAAAAAAATTTATATTGTGTATTACTCCCGTTGGCTTGAAGGGCATCCATACATCTCTGAAATGACTCAAATAACATATTAATAAAGCCATCTGGAATGGCAACGAAAGCATTTTTCCCAGAGTTCATAAAGATTCTTTGGAATCATCTTCAATGCCTCCTCCATCTTACCCAGACACGCTCGATAATGTTCATATCTGGTGACTGGGCTGACCAATCCTGGAGCACCCTGGCTTTCTTTGCTTTCAGGAACTTAGATGTAGAGGCCGAAGTATGATAAAGAGCGCTATCTGGAGGAGCGCTTAATTTGATTGATTTCTATGAGAATCTTAGGTCATGTGGGTTCCAATAGGTTCTGCAGTATTGGTGATGATTGGGATGCAGTTCAACAGATTATTCATCAGAAAAATCTACCTTCTGCCAGTTTTCCAAATGATCAACTAGAAGTCAAGTTATTATTTGATCTATCTATCTATCTATCTATCTATCTATCTATCTATCTATCTATCTATCTATCTATCTATCTATCTATCTATCTATCTATCTATCTATCTATCTATCTATCTATCTATCTATCTATCTATCTATCTATCTATCTATCTATCTATCTATCTATCTATCTATCTATCTATCTATCTATCTCTAAATCTGTCTGATTTACAGTATAGTCCAATAAATTGTCCTACCACTAATCCAATTACAAGCAAAAAATGATGCTAGGAACGCTTAAACCTATGGGTTTGAGTCGCATAAATTGCATATGCTGAGAGTTTTGTGCATGACAGCATCTGCCAAATGCATTTTATTATATCTAAAACTATGCTACTTTGACAGAAATTATGGTTACCATGGTAATCTTTTGCAAGGAGCGCTCTGGTCAACTGCACACTACACAAACACACACACACACACACTAAGCCTTCAAAATGGGCTCCTATTACAATCTGCATGATTTAGCATTGCGACAGCATAAAAGCTCCCGTCTCGGTTAATCACATCTGACATACCAGCTAAGGAGCAACAGCAGGTTGAGGGGAATGAATGGGGGGAGCAAACCAGAAAAATAAGAAAATGAGAGGTGAAAAAGGAAATATGCAGGAAGAAAGGGAAAAAAAAGAATGAAACCGAAGGCAAAGCATCAAAGAGTTGGTAAATAATTAGCGGGACTAACATGGCGTTACTGGTAGCTGTGGTGGAAACGTCAGGCGACGAGATAACTCCGCACTTGGCACATTTGAGCGTCATATTGTACAGTGGCACTGTCATCTGACTGCAAAGTCAAATCAACACACTGAAATACACATGTACGCCGACATTTAACCACAAGCACACTCTCTCACACACACACACACGCACACACATAGACATTTATACACCTAGAAAGTACACAGCGGCCACAGAATCCCCTACCAGCTCTCACTCAGGGCAATTTTTTGGGAAGAGTGCAGGAATGATGGAAAATATGCTGTCATGTTGGTTTTATGTCTAAACAGGCCTGATTGAACATGTGGGACAAACAGCTATCGAAAAAAACAAAACAAACATCAACTCTATATGTTGTGCATGTGTGTATGAATTACCATCATTTATTTCCACTGACAGCCTATGTAAAACACTACATGATAGGATTTTGATTCTGTCATATCAATGACATCAAATCATCTTTAGCATTTGTATGCCATATGGAATTTGCTTGATTTAGGCTGCGAGCGGTTTATCCATCCCAATCTGCATCTGTCTTTGGGCCCTGGAGAGAGACATGGGAACTCGGAAAAAAAAAAACACACACACAAACATTCATGCTTGCTGACAGCCCGGAGATCGTGCATTCCCAGACTTGAGCAAAATCACGGTCATTTAAGGAGTCACGTTAAAGCCATGACAGCCAATATCGAATGTATATATCTATATATTTGTCTATGTGTGGCTTATTTTTTCTAATAAACTGTAGCGTACAATGATATTTCATATTTCAATCCTATTCCCATGATGGTGGCTATTTTTAGTCAACGCTGAGACAGAAACAGCTTTACTAAAAGGCTACTTTTATCTCATGTTTTTATAAAGGATCTCAAATGTGGTTTCTACTGCACGCAGACAGTGTATGACAAATCTGGTTACATTTAGGAAAAATCTAGGCCTAGTTAAAATGATTCAAAATAACAGATGCAGCATCAAAACCATAATATTTCAGCTTCATTTATCAGACCATCCTACTGTAGACCATTTCAATGTGGTCATGTTGTTGGCCCATGAACATTTCCTGCTTAATATCAAACCATTTCATAACTGTAACAAGAGGCGATTCAATTATAACTTAATGTTAAAACAGCTATCATAACATTCTTTATCAATATGGGGCTGTTTTTGGATTCTCTGAAGCTATGAAAATTAAAAAGGTAAAACATGGTATGCGATGGGACCATTGTTTTTGTTTACATCCCTTAAAATGGTCTGTACTATAAAAGTTGTACAGTATTATTACTTTTTAAAATAAATGTGTTTTTAAATTGTGACATAATTTTGTAGTTTAAAGCATCATTAGACTAGTCTTCAGTGGCATATTCTCTTTTAACAATCATTCTAATGCAATATGATGATTTGGTGCACAATAAATTCTTATTATGAATGATAAAAATAATTTATATTAATTTTTATAACATAAAAATTAAATATAATCACTTTTATTAGGATTCTTTGATGAATATTAATAAATGAATATTATTCATTTTTGATATAGTAATATACTTTTTACATTAAACATGTCTTTACCATTTATTCATTCATTTTCTTTGGCTTAGTCCCTTTTTTAGTCCGGGATCACCACAGCGGAATGAACCGCCAACTTATCCAGCAAGTTTTTACGCAGTGGATGCCCTTCCAGCCGCAACCCATCTCTGGGAAACATCAACACACACATTCACTACGGACAATTTAGCCTACCCAATTCACCTGTACCGCATGTCTTTGCATTGTGGGGGAAACCAGAGCACCCGGAGGAAACCCACGCGAAGGCAGGGAGAGGATGCAAACTCCACACATAAACACCAACTGAGCCGAGGTTCGAACCAGCGACCCAGCAACCTTCTTGTTGTGAGGCGACAGCACTACCTACTGCGCCACTGCCTCGCACACAACGTTATAAGACGTTAATATTAGGTTAGATTCAGGCCGTGACGACAGGTGTCCAAAATTCAATGTCCAGCAAGCATCTAAGGACAATGCTATTTTGACGTCCAATAACGATTTCAAATGATGTTGATATTTAGTAAATTTTAGGTTGTTTTGGAAAATGACTAAAATTCAACGTTGTGCCAACATCTTAAACCAACATCATCGTGGCGACTGAAGCGGGGTCGAGAGAAATGAGTGCATGCAAGTGAGATAATCAGGGACACCTGGACGCGTCACCTGCCTCGATTCTCACAAAGGTGCCCTGGAAGCTAAAGGAGGAGAGACGCCAGTGCTGGACGAGTAAGGACCGGGCCCGGACAAGTGCTTTACTTTTGCCATGCCATATGTTTTATTTACTCATTAAAAACTTGTTAAAAGTTTGTCTGTTCTCTGCCTCGTTGCCGGCAGCCAGGTGGCCGTAAACTTCATTACAGTCATATTGACGTCAAATGCTGTCATTTATTCTTCAGCTATGGCAACCAAAATCCAACGTCTGATAGACGTCATAATGATAACGTCCACACAACGTCAAGCTGTAACATCATTAGACATTGATATTTGGTCAGTTTTAAGTTGGAAGGTGGACATTGATGTCGGCCTGATGCTGGGTTATGACATCAACCCGATTTTCATTTTCATTTTCAACGTCCCTATGATGGGGTACAATGCCAATCTGATGTCATGATAACAGCCTGTGCCTGCTGGGTAGTGTCACTATTGATCAATTTAATGCTTTACTGCTGAATATAAGTATTAGTTTGCAATATAACTGTTGCACTGAAAGCACCTCAAAAAACAAAAAAAAAAAAAAAAAAAATACAATTAAAGTCATCAGCTTGGCATGGCTGCCCAAATGGATAGGAAGTTGATTCTGCTACTGGCAGACATGTAGATTAAACCCCACATAATGTAAGAAATTCAATTCCAAGGGAAAGGCCAATGCGACCAATAAAACCTCACTAGAGGCAGTGATGTTAAAAAAAGCAATCAGCATTTTTTTGAATTACAAGACCATCTTGCTAGTCTTCACAGAGGTGGGGGACTTCAAAAAAACCAACTGATAAGATTCTATCCCAAATATTAAAACAAATTTCTCATTTATTCATTTATGAAACATCAGTGGTTTTGTGTTGCCGCAGGTATCCAAAGTCCTTGATGAAGACCTTAGCAGTCTGACAATGTGCAGTTTGTTATTCGAAAAACTTAAGAAAATGGCAGAATTTACAGGTGTGCCATGACTACCCAAAGTGCTGCTCCTGCGGTATGTGTAATTAACAGCGGCGCTTATTAATTAGGCTAATGAAAAATGCTGTGCTTAAGAACAAGTGCGAAGGAGAAAGGAAGGAATACGAAAATCCTTCCTCTGAAATCCAATTCGCCCTCCCCGTCTATCAGTGCCAAACAACGGCAGCCAGCCTTGAGTTAATCACTTTCCGCAGAGAATGCAATGCAGCTCCAAAATACTCAAGCAAACGTGTTGATAACGGTTGTATTTTCCCATTATTATTTAAACACAAACAGAACAAAAACAAATCTGATCCAAAACGTCCAAACAATGAAATCCACATATTTACACAGACACACACACACACACACACGCACACATACACACACAAACTAATTTATGGTTCCATATAAAATTCTACAGCTATTCTAAATCTAAATGACTAATCTAAAGCACATTACCCAGCATGCTTCCATCAGAAGCAATCAGAAAATTGAGTCCTAAATCCCTATTATGAGGGAAATTTAAGTGCAAAAATAATTCTCTGCAGGGAACTGAACATTGCAGCAGCTAAAAAATTGTGGGAGAGGCTAATGTGATAAGTATAGGCGGAGAGCTGCATCTCAGCCAATCAGTGACAGGTGGGCAGGGGATAGAGGAGAGCCCTGAGTGTGAGCGAGGGGATGCTGTGGATACAATGTTTCAGACAGCACAAAAACAAACGCAATCGATCAGATAGATCATAGCAAACACAACGTAGCTGAAATGAAATAATCATAATAAAAATCTCAAAATGGGAAGAGAAACACTTGGATGCAAAAAGAAGAAAGAAAAAAAAGAAAGAAAAAAAAAAAAAGAAAAGCGATGCCAGTAAGGGCACGCGTCTCAGCCTGCAGGCAGTGGAGCACAGCCCAGAAAAGGAAACACAGTCAGTCAATCATGAGTCATAACATGAGTAATATTCGTCTTCTCGGTAATAAATCCCAGGCCACGTTTCTGCTGTATAAAGCCTGATTGGTAGAAGGCATGTGAATCTCGGAAGCTTAACAATTGCGGTGTGTAATTGATGGTCAGTGGCACTGAGATGGACAGCGTACGATTGTGAAAAGCTTATAATGAGGTCTATAATAACTATTCTTCAGCTTCAGTGACATTTAACTCACACCACCGAAAACTTGTCAAAATCAATGGTTATAAAATGAGAAATTGGCTCAGCTTGAGTGCTATTGATCAGACGCATGAAGCTGACGCGTCATATGAGATTTCCTTTACCGGCTCCTTCGCGACTGCCCGTCAAATAAACATTTCATAGACATAAAACATGGATTTAAACTGCTTTGAATTCAAGATGCACAGCAACACCTAAAAAAAAAATCAAGAGAAGCTGGAGAAATGATTAAGCGACACGTGGCAAATCACCAACATAAGTATGAAGGAAATGCAGTGAGTGAGCAAAAGGTGTTGTCGTCTTGCTTTTGATGGGACCAATAACCAGTCCTTTGCAATCTCTTCCCCATGCTTATTTTAAGCATAAACCTAGATAAATCTGCTAATTTATCAGTAAAACCCCACTTGATAATGAGGTAAGAAAAACTTCACTCTCGATTTGACAATCATGTTTTGCTTTTACGATTATTTGCAGTATTTTCAGTGTTGGGTAAAGTTAAATACATTACAATCTTAATTATTTTTTGTTAAAAATAAGTAACTAAATGTGTTACTTAGTTACTTTTTAAGGAAGTTAATGTGAAAGTTTATTTTAACAGTTTAATAAATTCATTTATTTCAATTAACCCAGGCTCAATATGGATTTGTACACCTGTAAACATTTCTGGAGAGCTTGAAATACATTCCAGGAGGTAGGTTTATTGCAGTTTTTGGGAATCCACCAGAGGGGGCTGTATATGCTTGTATAGATCTGAAAATTATTCTGCGAGTGCCATTTACGCCTGCCCTTCTCACTTAAATCCACCAGAGGCCGCTGTCGACTGACTGACTGATCGACCGACCAACCAAATACCCCCACCCATCTCCTTTCCTAAACCCAACCGATAGTGTTTTAAAAAGCACAGATTGACCCGCCCACCACCTTCCAGCAATCAGAAAAAGAAAAGACGCCAGATTTTTACCACTTTGTCAGACCTTACCACGTTCTCACCCCGTTTTTTACTTGTTTTTTTTTTTTTTTTGTCTTTTGTTTTTGTTTTACCTGCTTTCTGGAACTGTTCTTCACCAGACTTGAACCCTGTCATCGCGGTCAACTCTGCTCTGCGGCTGAAGTCCACTGACCATAGCTTAATTTGTCCTGGAATACGCTTGATCCGGCACCTCTGAAATCTGATCTGGCACCTCATTTTACCGATCCCCATCTCAACCGCCTTCCTCTCCTGTCTGCTATCACTTTCTTCTGTGACTCCCCAACCCTCTTTACTTTCGTCCACGACACCCGTCCGCCATCCAACACCCTGCTATCCCAACCACAACACCCCCTACTTCCTCCGATCTTTTCTCTTGTGCGTGATACCTCTACTTCCTTGGGTAACATGCCGGATCTGTTACCCCTATCTGTTTCTGGACCTCGCAATTCACAAATTAAGCACTGCTACGACATACGCGGCAAGCCACTGGGCAAACTGCTAACAGCGGAAAAGCCGTCCACACAAAGGCAAGCAGTTAGTTGGTAGTACAAATAAAAAAATGTAAAAAAAACGAAGCCGTCGGCGGCATCATACCACCCTGTAGCGTTCATTTGAAAAACAAAATGCAGCCATTCGTACCTCTGGCTACATAATTTGCACTCTCCAGAAATGTATACATAAGTACATATTCACAATGAGTCTGTGTTGTATTCATTCCTGCGTAGTTGTGGGGGAGAGATGTTTCAAAGGTCTGGCCAATGAAATTCTTCCCAGAACTCAGCCAATGAGATGAAGGAGTGCGATGAGGCATACCCGGCCCTCTCCTTGAGTTTCATATCAGTAATGCCATCTTTGGACACCAGTTTGTTAAAAACCAGAATCCCGATAACCATGTTAACCTGGTGAAGAGAGAGGAGAAAGGTGAACACACACATGAGCATCTGAGAAGTCTTACAACATTCTTACTGATGTCCTCTGTGTAACAAAATGGCTGTTTTTTACCTTGGTTAAAATGATTCTGTGAATTCCTAATTAGTTGTGATTTAGTGGTATGTTAATAAAACAACCTCAGATTTTAAAGCAGGTAAAGTAATAACAGTAATGTAAAATTGTATTCAATTTAAGATTTTTTCTTGCACAAACTTCAAATCCCATTTATGTTTTGTTTGATTTATCAGTCTTATATTACCTCTATCGAAACCAATTTTGTTAAGTGTCCTCTTTTTAATGTTGTGACTTTGAGACAAGTCATAAAATAAATCGGGGGTTTGTCTGGGATAAATGAAGGTTTGGAGTTGGAGTTTTACTCTAAGATTTGTTTTCTTTCATACATACACCGCAAATAATGCTCGTAACTTAATTGAAATTAAAAGGTAACTTAATTGATATTACAAATTTAAGTGGATTGAATGTAAAACAACTAAGTTGTCGAAAAAAACGTTGATTTAACTCTTATAAAATAAGTAGTTTGAACAAGCATCATTTTTGAGCGCAGTATTGAATATATTCCTTTCCTGCTGCTGTTGTGTCAATAGAAGTTTATGATTATGATTACAGAAAATATTCATTTAATTTCCAATTTTATGACTTGAGATATTAATTTTATTGTGTTATCAAACTGTGTTATTATATGAAAGTTAAAATAATATAGTTATATGAAAATGATTGAAACAGCCATTAAGAAGCGATGCTTTGGTTGTGTACAGAAAACTGCACTAGAAAGACATTTTCTTGTATGACTATGTAAAAAAATAAACACTAAACTTATATCTAAATCTGTTATTGAATGAAAGAAATTTTGCTACAACTTATATTAAAGGGATATTCAAAAATGAAAGTTCTGCCACCATCACTCATCCTTGACTAGTTCTGGGAAACCTGTAGGCTGACATCCATACTAGGAAAAACAAAACCAGGGTAGTCAATGGTTACAGGTTTCCAACGTTCTTCAAAATATCTTATTTTGTGTTCAACAGGACCAAAACCTTTATAGTTTATAACAAGTCACGGAACAGTAAATGATCACAGAATTTTCATTTTTGGCTGAACTATGTCTTTAATATTGTCTAATTCTAAATCAGGCTTATTTAACGTGCAGTGATGCAATGATGTGACTATCATTCCCACGGTTAGCATACGCTGTGTTTAAACAGATCCATTAAAACCTGTTTGCTGGGTATTATGTTGTAGAGTTACGAAGATAAAATCGGGAATTGCCAGGATGCTCATTCACTTTTTATTTCAAGAGCTTGCCACTAAAGCTGTGGTTTATTTATCGTAAAATGCTATGTTTGGGTGCAGTGATGCTAGCAGCATTAAACACAGTCTGGGAAATGAGGGACAGACGATTTCTGTGAATAAATCAAACAGAGAGAGAAATTGTACCAGGACGACAGCAGCAGCTGGTCCCACAAATGCGTACAACAGCCCTCCTTCCAGAGACAGCCAGCAACTAACACAAAACACAGAAGCAGAAAAAAGAGAGCGAAAGAGGTAGAGAAAGAAAATAGAAGAGAGAAGGGAATGAAGGAATCAGTATCGGTGCTATTATTAGTCGAATTTAAAGGGACACTCACCTTTTTTGAAAATAGGCTCATTTTACAACAATTAATTAGATCTCAAATCTCTAGAATAGGTCTCAAACTGGATTCCTGGAGGTCCGGAGCTCTGCACAGTTTTGCTACTAACCCTAATCAAACACAGTTGATCCAACCAATCAAGATGTTTAAGACTACGACTATTAAGCAGGTGTGAGTTGGAGCTGGTTGGTACTAAATTATGCAGAGCTGCGGCCTTCCAGGAATTGAGTTTGAGACCATTGAAATAGACTAGAGCATTAGAGTCTTGCTAAAAAAATTTCAAAATAAGAGTTTAAAGCTTGACTATTCTTTAGTTACCTTGTGTACTAAGCCCAACAGAAATAACAATAAAATGTTGCTATTTTTAAGGTGTAGACCTGTATAGCTGGCTTTTTGTTTTGTTTTGTATGGCTGGGAACTATACTCTCATTTCAGTGTATTTACCAAGGAACTTTACTGCTGTACCCTGGTTGCATCAGGCACTAATTTATTATGCAGCACCAGAAAATAGTCCCCAGCTAGGTAACTAGGAACATTCATTCATTATTCTTCGGCTTAGTTCCTTATTTATCAAGGGTTACCACAGAGGAATGAACTACTACCTATTCCAGCATATGTTTTACTCAGCGGATGCCCTTCCAGCCGCAACCCAGTACTGGGAAATAACTAGCTAACATTGCCGCGTATTATCATTGCAGCAGTAAATAATTCTTAAAACTTTTTTTTATATTTTTGACCGAGATGCTAATGGTCTAATCCCATTCAATGATGTATGCAATGCTAAGCTAAGCTACAAGTGCTCCATCCAAACCCAGAGATCAGGTGAATGAATTCAAACATGATAAAACTCAACAGTTTAACTCTAGGAGACTTGTAAATGAACCTATTTCCAAAAAGTGGAGTGTTTCTTTAACATTTTAAAGTGTGTACTTAAAGAGTGCAGGACTAATCATAAGAAACATTAAAACTTATATAGGCAAAATTAGATGATTGATCCAGTGGTGATCATACTTACTAGTTAACAGTGCCATATCCCTTTGCCTTGGTGAATCCAACAGAAATTGCTACAACGAGAGCAGGTAAACCTATAAAAGGGAGCAGGCATTAATGAGAGCAGTTCAGTACTTGGCAGAGAGTATAGCATGATATATGAGTATAGAGCACAGGTGTCAAATCCAGTTCCTGAAGGGCCACGGCTCTGCACAGTTTAGCTTTAACCCTAATTAAACACACCTGATCAAACTAATTCCGTCCTTTAGGCTTGTTTGAAACCTACAGGTAAGTGTGTTGAAGCAGGGTTGAAACTAAACTGTGCAGAGCTGCGGCCCTCCAGGAACTGGATTTAACACCTGTGGATTAGAGTATAGAGTATAGCACATCAACATGTTTGATCGGATTTACTTGAACTATCACTTATCACTTTTTACTCAACCTCATGTCATTCCAAATCTATAAGACTTTAGTCTATGTTTTAAACACAAATGAAGATATTAACAACTGAAAACGAGAGATTTCTGTCCCTTCATTTAAAGTCTGTTTACCCATAACCAAAACATCCGGTGGCTGATAGACAGGTTGCGAACGAGCATTGAGCTTCTGTTACCAAATATGAATGCTGTAAAAACTAGCTATGTTTATGTCCAAAGATGCAAATTAAACATATGCGCAAAACTGGAATATTGCATGAAACATTCGCAGATAATGCACTTTCCATCTGGCACCAATGCAACATTTTAGATGTGCAATGAGGTCGGTCCACTGGTTTGTTAATTCATGCTGTCCCATTGCACCCATTTTTGATCAAATGATCTGGTAAAACATTACATGGCATTTTTTGGTGCACATGATGGAATTTATTCTGTAAATGTGTTTCCATAACATTTTTTCTTATGACATGTTTTTTTAGCACATTTTTAAAGTATATCCCATATTGGTGTATCAATTAAAGGTCCCGTGAAGTGGTTTGAATTGAAATGTGCATTTTTATTAGATTTTTGATGTAATCTCAACTGAAACACAAAGAGAGGGTGGTAATAATGTAGCCCCTCCCCTTTTTATAAAACAGCCAACAGCATTTGGCTTTGTAATCGCTCTGCCAGAGTGGTTGAACTCAAGCGCATCAAATGTGAAGCATTTTAAATGGGGCACGGCAAGTCTGACACTAGAATCTTCTAAAAGCAGATTTTGTCACTGTTTTGGTCTTTTGGAGCACAATAGCTTATAGATATCGTAAAAACTAACAATACTGATACTAACATTTAAAAAAACTTCATTTTAATTTCATTGGACATTTAAGCCTTTATATGCAATATTCCAAAATATGGATAAAAATAGATGAATGGAAACTGTTCACTACGAATAAAAACCTAAGTTAAAGGGTTACAAAACCATCCTGTCTCAACAGGGTGTTTTCACACCTCTAATTTAAAAAAATGTCAGGAAAGTGGGTAAGTCCAGCTTTGTTTAGGTGGGATGAAAGAGGGAAGGGGAGAAAAGGGGAGTTTCAGTATATGCACGCATCAGTAATAAAATATTTACCTTATTTGCCTTAAATTGAATAAGACAATAATATGACGAAGGTGTTGAGTTGCTTTTTGAATGTTTCTTTCATGATCCCATGTTATAGCACATAATTCAATTAAAATCATTGCATCATTGCTGCACTATCCACATTTCCTCCAGAGTTTCATATAATTTCGGACGTTTCATTCTTAATTTGTCGACTTTAACTGCAGTTCAGAACTTTCACTTTCATTCAGGAACATTTCATGCATGCCCTCAGTGACAAATGAAATATTGGATGCGAGGAACTGCTGGAAGTCTGTAGTTTTGATATTTGTGATACCACAAGGTTGAATGGGAGAAAAAAAACTCTGCATTTCTCGATGCAGAAACTTGGTAGGTGCAAACAATGTGTTCATACGCGACCAAAATCTTACACAACAGTAATATTTATATTTAATATGATTGTTGACAAGTTTACATTCGGAGAGCAGCATTTTACAGAAGAGCTTTCAGTCCATAATATTGTCGTGATATTAAAGCTCTGTAAATTTTGTAGCTAAATCATTTTGATTAAGGTATGTCTTTAAAAACTGCTGACGATACCAACTAAGTTTGCTGAATAAACATAAACAAAAAATCATTGATCACACACTTACCAAATCTGTAGAGGCAGGACAATCAACACAAACTGGAACCGGATCTTTTTAAAAAGGAGACTTCTCTGGAAATCTGAATTTCACCATTTCCATATACTAAAAGCTCTCGGTTAAAAATATTCCTTACAAACATATTTTTGTCACGTGTTAGCAGACTACTGTACTCCACAAATGTGGGCCCCAAAACGTGGGACAAAAATGACTGTCAAAATCTCAAAAATGTGTTTTGGTGTTTCATGACCCTTTAAATCTGTTTATCCTATGAATGAATCATGTCTCTTCGGAAGATCTATACAAATTATTTGTAAATACAAATATTTTGAAGCACTATTTTAAAGAATAGAGTTTTAAGAGATGTTTTTTTATTCGGTGACACAAATCCCTTATATTTGTTAAAAATATCTTTGTGTGGTGAACAAAAGTCTCATAGGCTTGGAATGGAATAAGTGTGAATAAAAGATAGCCAAATTATAGTTATGAGCTGAACTGACCATTTAAATTTCATCCAAGATTTTAGAATAGATGATTTGCATCATGTATTACCACAATGAATCAACCTCAACTTTTAGGTCAAATGCACAGCTGGGCTTTATTTATTTGTTTATTTGTTTTTGCAGACAAGACATATTCTAAATAGAGGCACAGATACTGTAAAGATGCATAGGAAATGACAAAGAGACAGTCCTCACCCCAACCAAGGCAAAGGAAACGCTTGCGTATGATACGGTTTCTAAGGCGGCCGGTCACAGCCATGTACGACTGCCATGCCTCCGTTAGAACCCAACAGAAAGAGGACAGGAAGAAAAAGTGCAGAAACGCAGCCACGAGAGTACAAACAACCTGAGAGCATGAAAATAGAAAACAGAAAGAAGAGAAAAGACAGAGCCCATCTATTATAGTTTAGGATAAAGTTAAAGTCAAAATTATTTAGCCCTATGTGAAATTTTAATTATTTTAAAAATATTTTCCAAAACATTTTTAAACATACAGTAATGATGTTACTTATTTCTAATAGAACATATTTCTAGAACTTTTAACTATTTTAGTTTGTCTTTGCAATGATGACAGTACATAATACGCTTTATTAGGTACACTTGTTCAACTGCATGTTAACGCAAATTTCTAATCAGCCAATCACATGGCAGCAATTCAATGTATTTATATATGTAGACATGGTCAAGACGATCTGCTCCAGTTCAAACAGAACATCAGAATGGGGAAGGTGATTTAAGTGACTTTGAATGTGGCATAGTTTTTGGTCCAGATGAACTGGTCTGAGAGTTTCAGAAACTGCTGATCTACCGAGATTTTCGAGCACAACCATCTCTAGGGTTTACAGAGAATGGTCCGAAAAAGAGAAAATTTCTCATTTGTTCTGTGGGCACAAATGCCTTGTTGATGCCAGAGGTCTGAGGAGAATGGCCAAACTGGTTCCAGGAGATAGAAAGGCAACAGCAAATAACCATTTATTACAAGAGAGGTATGCAGAAGATCATCTCTGAATGCACAACACATACAGCAGCAGAAGACCACACCGGCTGCCACTCCTGTCAGCTAAGAACAGGTAACTGAGGCTACAATTCACACAGGCTCACCAAAATTGGACAACCGAAGATTAGAAAAATGTTGTCTGGTCTGATGAGTCTTGATTTCTGCTGCGACATTAGGATGATAGGATTTGGCATCAACAATCTTGTATCAATAGTTTGGGCTGGTGATGGTGGTTTAATGGTTTGGTGGATATTTTCATGGCACAATCTCTGAGGAATATTTCTAGCACCTTGTTGAATCTATGCCACGAAGGATTAAGGCGGTTCTGAAGGCAAAAGGGGGTCCAACCCGGTACCAGTAATGTGTACCTAATAAAGTGGCCGGTTAGTGTATTTTACTTGTTGTTTTTGTGATATTAGTATTCAGCTGCTTAAAGGCTTAACTAGTTTTTACTTTGGTTAATGACTATAAAATATAACTATCAAAATGAATTTGGTTAATAAGTCATAGTAGGGTAATTACAGTAATAAAACTCGTTAGACAACTACAGTTTGTTCTGAAGCCAAATACTAAAAATATTTCTTAAAGGGGCTAATAATATTACTATAGTACTTTTTATTTTTTTTAAATATATATATATATATATATATCAATCCACCATAACTGAAAGAAATAAAACTTTCTCAAAAAGAAATCATAATAGCAAATACTGTTAAAAATGTCCATAATCTGTTAAACATCACTTGCTAAATATGTGAAAAAGAATTAAAATTTCACATGAAAACTAACACTTTTCTCTTCACCCGTATGTCAAAGAGAAGGAGGAAATGAGTTTTTATTGCAGATCAAGGGATGTATCATTTCATTTGACTGTTTTAGTCATACCTTGTTCCGTGTCTGAGTTTGACCGATGAGTATAAGCGCATTGGAGGAGATGATGGACAGACAGAAGTTGATGAGGATGACAGAGCGCTCTGAGCGGATGTACCTGAAGAAAAGCACGCACAGTCAATACATTTGAATGAGACCTACTGCTTAGTCATTCAGCAACAAAGGTATTAATAGGTGGCCACATCAATGGAATCTAAAAGGATGTATATTTGCAAGTGATGTATATTTTCTCATCTGTAGACTCCTGAAGTAAGAAACGCTCTTTGAAGCATTCTTTAATCATGGTTGATACTTAATTAAGCGTGTTTGAAACATTTGCAAAACACATGACTGTTTTAATGTAGCGGTGGTCATTAATGCTAATGGAAAACATTACAAATAGATGGCTAACGATGGTTTTCAGAAACGCACTGTTGTTTTAGTTTCTTTCTTCTGTTGAACACAAAAGAAGATATTTTGAAAAAAGCTGAAAACCTCTAATCGATGGCTTCCCTTTCTTACTATGGAAGTCAATGGTTACAGGTTCTCAGCTTTCTTCAAAATACCTCTTTTGTTTTCATCAGAAGAAACCCTTAAAGGTTTGAAAACACTTGAGTAAACAGTGAGTACATTTACATTTTTGGGTGAACTATCCCTTTAACTGTTAACAAACCTTAATTTAATATATCCAGATATAGCTAGTCTGGCTATTACGACTTTAAAAAAATGCTAATATAGTAATTTGGTGCTCATGACACAATCTATAATCAATAACAAAGTAAAACATTTATCTCCCATTTGTGTTAAATACTTAAAATAAAATACAAAATAATTCACAAAATGTGTCATTTTTAAAGACATTTATATGTCAATTGAGCTGAGATATCAAGATTAACTGATCGATCAATCTGTCACTAATAACCACATTAGAAAATCCGAAACAACCTGACTTCTTTATAATTGCTACACATCAAATAATGGACTTGAATCTTAAACTCCAAATATCCTATATCTTATAAGTTAAGCACGTGTCGCTGTCCATGGTACTGAAATAATTTTTGTTTTTAAATCTATTTTTGTTGATAAATTTCTAAGATAGCAAGTCTTTACAAAAATCACCCTAATATACCTGAAAATATACAGTTAATATATAATATAATAAATATAATAAAATATATTGAAAATACAATAATTAAATTAGTAAAACAGTTATGTCCCCACATTAATAGTAAGTCCTTAAAATAAAATACAAGTAATCCACAAAATGTGCACCGCTATTGTAATTTTTACATCAATGTGTCAGTTGAGCTGAGATAACAACATTAACTGATTGATCAATCACTGATAACCACATCAATATGGTTAATCAATGCTAACCTGACTTCTTTCAAATTCCTTCACATCAAATAATGGACTTGAATCTTTAACTATCCCAAATGTCATGAGTCAAACAGATGTTGCTGCCCATGGTACTGAAATCGTTTCTTACCTCCAAACAGAAACATAGATGATGATGAGGAGGAGCAGGGTGAGGGACGAGACCCCGCAGCCCACGATCAGAGTCACAGATGGAAGCTGGGTCTTATCCATGTTCTGTCAACACAAGGAAACAGACTCAGTTAGCACTCAGATGCTAACGCTTCCTCAAACTAAACCGCCTGCCGTTCCTCCATGCGATTCAGTGCTGAAGAGAGCCAGAGAAGTCCGCGTGGCTTCGGCTGAGGAACAAGGTGAGATGAAGGTCACTGAGCAAAGGGCTGATACTGAGGTTTGAGATATCCGGAGGGGAGAGTGGAGAAAACCAGTGACTGCCTGTGATAGCTTGCAAACCGGAAAAGCTAAATGCCGGATGCTGCGAATTACTCAGGGATTCTGAACCAAGAGGCTCAAGTCTCACACATTTGCAGGCTTGCGCAACCATTGTCTTGGTTGCCATGGTGATGTGGTGGAGAAACAGCGGCCACTGCAGTGGTGTACGCAGCATTAACTGTACCATAGGTGTGTGAGCAGTGCATGTGTGTGTGTGTGTGTGTTCGTGAATATCTGCATTCCTTGCTTAAGCCTTAAGCTGCATGCCTAGCTGGAGCACATTTAAATACATTTATGTGGTACAGTCTACAGTAGATAAGGATGCCAATGGGTGCTACGCATTCTCCAAGGTGTGGACTTCTCACCTTTCCTCAAAAACACACAGACTTACACTTACACACAAAGATAATTGGTTGAGTTTATAGCCTGTCTTGTCTCCAGGTTTAATGTGCACACAGGGCCAAGTTAATTAAATCCCTCTGATTAATCTGCACTGCAGTGAGGTCCCCGCTGACAATCAAGAAAGAAATGCATCCTCTGAGACTAAGTTTGTCTTCCGCTGGCCAATCAAACAGTTGACTAAGCCTAAGCTGTGGAAGACAGGCTGGAATTTAGAGAAACCTCTATCGAACCAAGGGAATTATTTAGTCTATTGGTGCAGACAGGACGAAACATGAAGTTTGGAAAGGAAACTATCAAGTCCTGTCAATTTTGTAGCATTTGACAGTTAACCGACAGGACGGTAGGCAAAAGGAGGCTTAAAAGGATGTATTGAAGTGGAAATACTAATGCCTCATTTCCACTCAATGATACAGTTTAGTTCAGTACAGTACAGTACAGTTCAGTATGGGTCACTTGATCAGGCATGCATTTTCACTGCCAACGATGCCCTTTTGGTAGGAATGGTATATGCCAGAATGTTGCAATCAGTGTCATTCTCACTCAAAGAATAAATATGTATTGTTAGTTCAAAAATCCTGTCTTTTGTGAACTCAAATTCACTAATCCAAACAGATGTGCAGCAAGCACACGCAAAGAGAGACAAAAGGCCAGCAATAGCACATTCCACATGTTTTAAACAACAATAGAGGACATACAGCAGAATCTGTTCTTGCTTCCTAGGCTGTTTGAGCTTTCTTTGAGCTCACGTAGACCATGGCTCATTGTTGTGACTCTTTATTGTATTGCAGTGTCATGTTTTGGCAGTTTATTTAAAAATGGAGCATCCTGTGTTTTGATTCTTTGGCATGTTGCAGATGCTGATAACAGTTCTCTGTAAACGAATGGCATTCAGTAGTGAGTCTAGCTCTATGCTTTTGGCAACATTCTTGTGGCAAAAAGTGATATGGTACGGTTCACTTTTTTGGTAACTTTGACAATAGAATCAGGTGACGGAGTGGCGCACTAGGTAGTGGTGTCGCCTCAAAGCAAAAGGTCACTGGTTCGAGCCTCAGCTGGGTCAGTTGGCATTTCTGTGTGGAGTTTGCATGTTCTCCCTGCGTTTGCGTGGGTTTCCACCTGGTGCTCCGATTTCCCCCACAGTCCAAAGACATGCGGTACAGGTGAATTGGGTAGGCTATGAGTGTGTGTGTGGATAATTGTGTGGATCTCTCCCAGAGATGGGTTGTAGCTGAAAGGGCATTCGCTGTGTAAACATGTGCTGGATAAATGTGCATTCTGCTGTGGTAAACCTGGATTAATAAAGGCACTAAGCCGAAAAGAAAATGAATGAATGAATGACAATGGAATCAGATATAAATGTGTACATGGAAATAGACTCTTAATTTACATCCTATCTACTGCCATAAAGTATCCATACAAAAAGATTACATTTACCTGATTACCTGATTTACCTGATTAGCCCTGAAACACCAAACTGATCACAGTGAACTAGTGCAATGAAAGTTGACTGTAGTTGGTCATCAGCCAATATCAGGCCACAGTTTGTGCATTTCAGTTTTTCAGTGTGTTTTGCACTGCCAACAAGGGTTGAGGGTTTTCAGGTTCCTGTAAAAAACCACCACCCAATGGGACATTGTCCTTTTTGGCTAAAATTAAATGAACCTGCTGACCGGTTCAATAAACCAATGGCAACAGGGTAAAAACACAGATTTGGCAACACTGACTAGTCAGACCCCATCAAGGGCTTTTGGTCCAACTGAGCAAATCAAGTTGGTGTCCATTGACATATGCAGTGAAGGAGTAAACTCTTTGAGATGTTACATTTAGAAAATCAGTCGTTGATTGTATGCGAAATTGCAAACTGTACCTTCCTACCGTTTAGTAGTAGCCTAGCTTAAAAACATATGTGACAAAAGAAGAATGCCCAAACTCACAGTAATCATAAAAGATCACGCAATTAGTACCTGCGAGACTAACCACTTTGGGTGAGATTCTGAAGTGTGAATGCAACAAACACATTAGTGAAGAGGCAACTGATGTACAGGTAACATGATAATTCTAACAAGGCTAATCTAATATTTCCAGATTACTTTCAAACTACAGATATCAGACTATAAAAAACATAATTTTATAAAAAATTTACACTGAGAGATTATAAAAAATAAGCATTTACTCAAAAGAATATGTAATTTCAGAAGTACAATACAACACATGAGAATAAAAGCAAAAATGCACTTAAAACATTTATTTTGCTGCTTGTTCAAACTGCTTATTTAAAATTAGATGAAACAACACAAGTCTTAAATTTTCTATGAGACAACTTAAATGTTTTATGTTCAAGTCACTTTGCAAAAATGAGTAAGTTAACATAGCACTTTTTTAAGTAATAAAAGTGAGCAAATAATTCAAGATGGCTCAGACTTTTACAATTTTCAGTCATCGTACGTAATCATTTCAAAATACAAATGTAAATAGATACATGACAACATGAGCCATCCAAACTGAAGAAAGTGATTAACATTACAGTATTTATATTTAAATAGTAAAAAAAAAACTCTGCTTTGTTTTATTTGTATAGTTTTAATTTATGAATGATAAATTTAGACAGATACCGGCTAATACAAACATTATTTCCTCACACAGTGATGCTATTTTTACACATGCTATTTTTATACATGCTGTGTTGCGCAAGCTAGATTGACCAATATTGCTTTTTTTTAGGATGTGCAGCCATCTGATAACCAACATTTAGAACCAACATTGTTATAAACTTCTGATGCCAAAATTTCTAAATGATCATCAAGCTACAACAACTAGGAAAATTAAGAATATGCAAATCAATAATCAACCAAACAAATAAACATAAATGTAACATTTATAAAACTAAATGCGAAAATGTACAACTCCAGTGCAATGTAGATTTTTTTTGTATTAAATAAGTGAAAATACCAAATGCAATAATAAACATATCATTAATAAAATTGTTTCTATAATATAGATAAGGAATAGGAAAATTAAATATTAAAAAATTGTATAAGTTACTGTCTTGTCTTTGCATAATGTTATTACAACATGAATATTGATCTATCAGTCCATTAATATTTTAAAGCTTACCATACTGTATGCAAATGCAATGCAACCACCACATACAGTACATAATAATAAGACTGCAAACGAACTAAACTTGTAAACACGATGCTAAATCCTATACAAAGAAGAAGCAAAAAAAGACAATGGCCTACCTTCGAAGAAACACTAACACGAAATGCCTCAACACGGCATGCAATTTCTTTTTGTCGCCATCTTCACTGACCCATATTTAGGAGTGATGTATTCAGAGCTTCATCCAAGTACAGCTGCAGCGTAACTGTGCATTTCTACAAGCTTTAGCTCATAAAAATTCAGTCTGTGCACACAAAAAAACAAAACTCTCATATCAAACTGCGTAAGACAATCTGACCCGTGTAAACCAGAGTCTGCTTCAAAGCTGGAGACATCTGTAAAAAGACTGGCGTGTGGTTAAAATAGCTGCAGTGTACTATCTCCCTTTATTTATTTTTTTCTCTTTCTCCTTCCATGTGCACTGCAGCTGACTGTATATTGAGTCTGGGAATGGAGGGAGAGAAAGAGAGGAAGAGAAGCGTTTCTCTGGCTCTTTATCATTCTGAAGCTGTAGGACGCTAGTTGCCAGCGGAGGGGCCGTTGGATGGGCCATTTTGAGGTGGCAAGTGGAGCTGCAGGAATAATTAGCAGCATAGCAGTGGGGGTCTGGAGCGAGAGAAGGCTAGCGAAAGGGAGAGACAGACGGGGAGTGGAGCCAAGAGGAGGAGCCGTCCTCCCTTCTGCTGGCACACGGCAACACAAATGAAATCCCCACAATATGCTTCCCACGAGGAATGGAAAGAGCTAACTGCGACACTCCCTTCTTCCACATCCATCTGACCAGGTAGAGCAGGACACGCCGCCGCCATAAGGCGAACGATTAGCATACCGCTATGGATCTCTGGATCATAGTGAAGAGAAATGCAGATCATGCGGTCTTTACATGAAAGCAAATAGCAGCACATTAATGCACACTGGAGCCTTTAAACATGGATGTTTGCAATGTTATCCCTCGATTGAATGGGGGGATATCAGTGGTTATCAGCTGATAGATATGGGGTAGTAGGGGCCTTCTGCACCTATTGATAGACTCTGAAGGCTGTTATCATCTATCAACAGGTTTAATCAGCTATATTAAAAGAGAAGACTCCAGATACAGATCTGTTTTTAAATTAATGTGAAGTATAGGCGTTAGTATAGGTGTTAATCAAATACAATTAATGGGAAATTTAATAAATAATATAAATAATTCACATGGTTAATTAGCTATACTAATAGAG